CAACGTGTTGTTGGTGTTTTTTCAATGTATGCTTCAGACACGGGTCACGACGAGGCGTTCCCCATAGAGACCCCTAGAGGACGCAGTGTCTCGTTCCCTACTCAGGGAACCATGGTTACATACCTAACCTGAGACGTTAGATTTGTTACCTGAATTCAAACTGACTGAGTGGAATAAACTCTAATATTTGACTAAGTTAACACTAAAAAATTAAGTTAATTTAACTCAATGTATGAGTTTATAGTACTCATATTTATGGGTTTTAAAACTTGAATGGTTTAAGGCAACCAGTTTCTTCAAACGGTTTACCGTAACTTGTCGGGTTTTACAGTGCAGTATTACATTTGATTATATATATATATATATATATATATGGTATATATCATTGTGATTCTCAATATATCCAAAATTATTATTATTGTTGTTGTCTCCACATTGTTGATACATTCTTACCAGAGATGGGCACTCGAGTTAGTGACTCGGACTCGAGTCACACTCGAGTCGCATTTTTATAGACTTCAGACTCGACCTGAAATGACTCCAGACTTGACTCGACTCGAGGAAAAGGACTCGTGAATATTTTAAAAGCAACTTGAGTCTTTTATCCTTAAATACTTATATAACTGATTTTAAAAAGGTCGACCGCATCCACACCCCATCATCCAGGTCGCAGTGATCAAAATCTTTTTTTTTATCCTGGATCAACATTACTGTCCAAAAATATAGACTAAACCCAACCCCTACCCCTAAACCTTACCCTACCCATAATTTATTCCTAAAATCAGTGTGAAAATAGCTGATTAACAAGGGTGTAGAAGCACCTAACCTTGATCGTAAGCCTAAAACAGATATTTCCTGAAAAGTTATCCCTCAATTCTGATTGGTTAATTGGAATGTTGTTCCAGGATCAACAAGGATGTTGATCCAGGAAATCACATCAGACACTGGAGTGTACTGGTGTCAGTCTGAATCTGGAGAGAAACATCATCCTGTTAATATCACTGTACACTGTGAGTCTGTGTTTCTGTATTTTTCACAAAGCCCTCATTTCTTGTTCCAGATATAAATAGCCAGATTGTGATCTCAATTCAATCACCCACCCAATCTCATTTCTAAATGACAAAAAAATCTGATATACCATTAAACCTTTCACTATTAAACCATTGCTCAAGCAGCACCATTTTAAGTGAGCAGCGCGTCAAAACAGCGGAGCGGATCACATAAGCACTCAAGGTCGTTTATGGTAAATATCTTTCAGCGCTATATCCTCTAGTATTTTTTATCTAACGCCAAACGCGCTTTATTCAAGCCCTTTCAGCTCCGTGTGCTTTCTCTCTCTCTTGGAACTTTAATTGAATACCCCTGACTTATATCATTAAGAAATTTGTATATCATAGAAATATTTGTATGGTTTTGTAATATCTGTGTCACATATGTCCTTATGTGTCATGGTAGATCGGACTCTTATTATAGAATTTGATTACAGAAAAACAGTTTTGAACATGGTAATGGATTAACATATAAATAACAGGCTGGATGTACATTAAACTTACATCTTAACACCTCTTTTTTTTTTTTTACAAAGCAGATCAAAGATCATATATTTTGTTTATAGCTTATAAAACAGCTTCGTAAATAGGAAGATTTCAATACATGAGGAATCTGAATGAGATTTTTTTTAGCGAGCCATTAACTTGAGACTCGACTTAGACTCGTGATCAAAGACTCGAGACTTGACTCAGACTCCAGCGATAAAGACTTCAGACTTGACTCGGACTCCAAGTTAAAGACTTCAGACTTGACTCAGAGTCCGAGTTAAAGACTTGTGAACATCTCTGATTCTTACTCTAATCTTACTATTTGTCAGTTGATGTTTGCTCTGTTTCTGTAGCTGGTGTGATTCTGGAGAGTCCTGTTCGTCCTGTGACTGAAAGAGATACTCTGACTCTACGCTGTTTAGATCAGTTTTCAACCCCACCAAACCACAGAGCTGATTTCTATAAAGATGGGTCACTCATCCAGAGTCAAACTACAGAGATGATCATCTCTAATGTCTCAAAGTCAAACGAGGGTTTCTACTCCTGCAAACAGCCAGAGAGAGGAGAATCACCCAAGAGCTGGATCTCAGTCACAGGTGAGACTAGGAACTGTAAACACTATTGAAATGCTTCTGTATAATAAACAGCACTAATATGACTGTAAAATGTGTTCATCTCAGCTTCCTCCAGAAGGTCAGGATCTGATGATCTCGATCCAGTGATAGCTGGAGTGACTGCTGGACTCATATTTTTGATCATTGTCTTCTTGGTCCTGCTGTGGCGCTACAGAAACAACAAAGGTTCATCTAGTCGTATTAAAATTCAATAACACATTTGTAGACTCTGTTCCTAAACCTGTTACCTGTGGCCTACAACAGCCTAAGCTGCTTATCTGAACATAGCCGGTCTAACACTTTTATGTTGACTGATTTTAAAGGGTTTTTGGGTAGTTTTCTGCTGGGCAGGTATTACTCCAAATAACAAACTTCTGCAAATTAGCCATTTATGTATGCATAAAGGAGATTAAAGTCTCTTTTTTGACCCCCTTATTTCCTCCAGATATTTTCATGAACATGTTATGTTTGTCTAGGTGTAAGATCTGAGTCTACCTCTAGTGTCAGTCAGCAGCAGAACAGCAGTCAGACATCAGAGCAGAACCAGAGTGAAGCGGGATATAAAACACTCATGTCTGGTCAGTCTTTACCCATTAGCCATAAATATTTAACCAGAAATCTTTACAAGCTGAGATTGAAGAGACTTAGAAATAACTTTCAACTAACAAGACAGATCTCACGCTAAATATTTTTCCCCTTTTCTAAAGTGTAATATGATATTTGTGTAACTGACATTTACATATCCAATTAGATGTTATTCAGTTGTATTTCATTATCAAAATATTTCATACATAATTTATAAAGTTAATTGCAGCGTCAACATGAAAACAATATTTTTCTGTGGGCTTAAATTCATAATATGCATTAATTTATTACAGGAACTGCTCATACTTATGACTCTATTGATGCAACAAACAATAAAGATATAAGCACAGGTAACTAATGATGTTACAGAAGGTAATTATGTCATGTTGATCATTTACTAAGGCAGTAGTTATTTTCTAAATAATCAAAATGATCTTTGTTTTACATTTCACTGTGATATTTGCAGAGCAAATTCAGTTAAAACAAATGTCTTATTCTTTTGTCTGTTATTCATTGTAGACATTGTAAGTGGACCTACAGAAGTCACCTATGCTGAGATTGAACTCAAACCTACAGAGAAACAGAAGAAAAAGAAAGAAAACAAAGGTAAACTGTAAAAAAAAGTTGATGCTCGTATGGTTTTATGATCATGACAATAGTGTACAGCCGTTCTGAACACCCGTTCTGAAATCAGCCTGATCCATAAAAACCATTGCATGCAAATTACAATACGTTGATTTGAAGGTAATTTGGTCAAACATATAATTGTTTTAAAATAAATTATCTCTGTTGAAGCTGTAGAGATTTTATGAATATAAAATGAAGATTGGACACACAGTAAGCACTAGTGATATTAACTGTTGGCATCTTTTAGGGAAAAGCAGTGAAAGTTCTGACACTGTTTACTCTAAACTGAACCTAGAAACCCATCAAGGTGAGCGTCAAAGTAAAAACATCAATCACAATTCAAAAAGAGCCACTGAAACCTGCATCTACAGTACAAGCATTGTCGAGAATCTAAGAATAAAACAAAATATGAAAAGATTAAAATGTGCATTTTAGCATTTGTAACTCATTTACACTTTTTCAGCTGCTGGAGTGATGTGACGTATGCTCAGATTAAATAAATGGCTGGAGGAGAAACTTTCAATCCCAGGACGCTGATGAGTTTAGGCTGAGAAGGGCTGGAGAATGTCCAGGATCAGCAATGCTTTATCATCTTTGTGATGCTGAACATTTGATGGCAAGAGATTTATCAGTATTTAATATCTGTGATTATCTTTTTATCTCTATTCTGTATTCTTAAAGGTTGCGTCATTACATGGGAGAGAAAGATTGACTGTAAAGCCTTTTTTTAACTGTTGTGAATGTTTTGGTTTCTCTTTTGTTCTTCTTGATCTCAGATGTATTTGTAGCAGGGTTTTCATGGTCATAGAAACATCAGGAAATGTAAAAATTGTGATTTCCAAGTCTTGAAAAATCATGGAAATGTTCTAGTTTGGAAAAAGTCATGTTATAAATGTATATAGCGACTGTTGAATTTTCTAGCTGTTTTTTTGCGTTAAAATATTTAATTGCTACAAATACCTCTATGTGAGTCTAATCTAATTAATCTAATAGATTAGACTAGTTCTTGACTTATGTTGCAGCTTGCTTGTTGTTCTTAGTTAAAAATTTGTATATGTTTTCTCAATTCAAATTATAAACTGTAGTTTTGCTGTAGTATTTATACTTTTTGTTTATATCTTTATTTGAATAAAATAAGATCTAATTGTTGCAATGCTAGTATGTAGCATGAGCGTGAGTGACTTGGTCATCATAATTGCGATGCTATGTGACAGTCATGTTTATGGTTTAGCAAATATGTATAAATATCTCTGAACAGATTGAACAGAACTGAATTTATGTATATAAATGTCTTCAATGCCTCCAATACTTACTTATTGTTTCTAAGCGAAATAACTTGTCAATATCCTTATGAATTTTTATTTTATTTTGAAAACTAGGAGTAGGACTAGGTTGGAATTGGTAATGAAGCACTAGTTGGCTTGAAAAGTTTAACTCCAGTCCATTTCTACCAGCAGCTCTTCGATTTAATGACGAAAAAAAGATAACCAAGCGTAAATTGGTGACGACTTTGTTATGGAGGGAGGTTCAACAGATTTATGATCTTCCTGTGGGCTTTCATCACTAACATCCATATCACACAAGAATATATTTTACCCTTGAGAACAGACTCTGGCTTGAGATAATGGGCTCTGAAAAATGTCACAATATATCCACCAACTATTGTAAGAAGAAACACTTAAAACCTTCAAACAACTTGTCATTGAATTTGCAGCTAATATTGACTTCTACAGATATCTCCAGATACGTAGCTTCCTCTTTAAACATCTAAATTGGAAACAAAAGTTAAAAGACATTCTCTCATCAATTGAGCTTAGTTTGGTTAATGTGCAGACTAGCAAAAATATCCTTACACGGATTAGCAGCATATATAGAGCTTTAGATGGTAAAGAGAGAAAATACACATCATATCAAGACAAAATGGGAGAAAGAACTCCATGATTTCTGATCAGACCTTGACTGAGATGCGTGTAAAAACAGAAAAATGCCTTCTAGTATATCTGGATAGAATATCACTGGAAATTGACAATTTTTTTTTCTCTCTAACACCCCAAAATGTTGATATGTTTAAGTCACACTGAAGAGAATATGGAGAACAAATCGCTACACGCACTCAAATCTTTTAGCACTTTTCCATTCTAGACTGATAGTGGTATGGTGGGTTGCGGTGATATCCCATAGTCAGAATTTCCCGTTCTTGGGTTAATATCGATGTCATGTTACCAATGCAAAATATTCCCCCTGGGACCCACTTTATATTAAGTGGCGTTAACAACTATGTACTTACATTTAAATTAATAATTTGGTACAATGCACTTATTGTGTACATACATGTTTTTACATTGTACTTATATTTTAAATATACCTGCATGTAATTACATCTGTAATTAATTTCTGTAATTACATTTATAATTACACAGTTGACCCATCCCTTACACCTTAACCCACCCTTAACAACACCCATACCAACAAACCTGTCCCTAACCTTACCCATATCCCACCTCAATAGCAGCAAAAGTGTTTTGCAATACAATATGAACACATTAAGTACACATTACAATATGAACACATAAGTACATTATACTTATTTTTTGATGTAAGTACATAGTAGTTAAGGCCACTTAATATAAAGTGGGGCCTCCCCCTGTATCTGATATACCTAGCACAAGTGCTAGCTGTGTCAATTCCTCAAAAACTATTCCAGCCTCAGGAGTCCAGTAATTCAATTCAATTCAATTCAACTTTATTTGTATAGCGCTTTTCACGATACAAATCGTTGCAAAGCGACTTTACAGCAAATTAAGTTTCTACAATATTTAGTGGTGACAGTGGTGACTGTCAGGTAAAGTACATATGGCAGAAATGTACGGAAAAATCAATTAAAAAGACGTAATCATGGGCTACACTCCAGGGGGTGCTGCAGCACCCTCAGCACCCCTACTTCCCGCGGTAATGGTTACCACGGGATGTCAATCCTGTGGCAAAAACAGAGAAACAAATAGATACGTAATTAGCATAGCTGCTGTTCAAACCAAGCAAAATTAATTTGTTTAACCCAAACTAAAGAATAATAATGTGCATTTGATCAGATATAACTGCAGTACAAGATTATGAGATGCATTATTTGAATGCTTGGCCAAAGAGATGTGTCTTTAATCTAGATTTAGACAGAGAGAGTGTGTCTGAACCCCGACCATTATCGGGAAGGCTATTCCAGAGTTTGGGAGCCAAATGCAAAAAACACTACCTCCTTTAGTGGACTTTGCTAACCTAGGTACTACCGAAAGTCCAGAGTTTTGCGACCTTAGGGAGCATGATGGATTGTAGCGTGGTAGAAGACTAGTTAGGTACGCAGGAGCTAACCCATTAAGGGCATTAGTTATAGGTAAGTAAGTAACAATATTTTGTAACTGATACGGAACTCTGCCAGTGCAGAGACTGTAAAATTGTGGTAATATGATCATATTTTCTTGACCTGGTAAGGACTCTAGCCGCTGCATTTTGGACCACCTGTAGCTTGTTTATGGAAGATGCAGGACAACCACCTAGCAGTGCATTACAATAGTCCAGTCTAGAGGTCATGAATGCATGAACTAGCTTTCCTGCATCAGAAACAGGTAACATGTGATCCAAAGATCAGCATTTATCTGAAATAA